TATATACTTCCCTAATTGAATACTGACAAACCATGCAGACTCGATATGCGATGAACACGGGTACCTTCCGACTTTCTGGCCTTAATAGTACAGTTATCGGTCCACAAAAACTTCTGACCCTTAGACTTCTTCAGTTCTAGCGCCTGCCCAAAGAGCCGCTTGTTGTCGGGTGTGAGGTGATCATTCACAAATATGGAAGTCGCTGGCTTTTGTTTTAGCCCTATTGCAGTTGTTGTGAGCCTTGACTGGCGAGCCTTGAAAGCGAAGTCTGCCTTTTTTGTTCCCGAGCAGAAGCGCGCTATATTATTTGTTCCTTGCTTCGCAGGTACGCGGTGAACAATGTCAATGTCACTAGCAGTGACTGGGCATCCAATCTTGTAACCTAAAGCCTGCATAATTTCCAAACAACATTCACCGTCCGTTTTCGGAATGCCTTTAATTTCTACAATATTTTGGCAAGTTGTTAGCACTATAACAAGTTGTTAGGACTGGAACAACGATGCCAACTGCAGCCTGACAATTAGTAACATCAGAAGCGGTAAGCTGATATGAAGCGATGGTAGCCCCTGACACTGCTACATAAATCAACTTTAGCGGTTGGCACCTAACTACAATAAACATCAACGAGACGTGATGGCTGCATCATAGGAGTACATATGTAATGCTTATATAATTGGATTTTTAACATTGCAACCACAGTCGACGTTTCACATAATTAGTCTACTTGAAATGTAGTTCCGAGATTTGGCGTAGCTCGGTGGTAGAATACTTGATTCCCACCAAGAATGCCGGGGTTCTATTTCTGCTGAGACCATGGGATTTATTTTTTTTTTGCATTCATCGGGTCAACGCTGCTGACGTCAGCATTGTCTTCACGCTTACGCGTTAAAAATAGCCATGCGTGTCCTCGCTGTTCCTGGATAGATGTAAAGTGCCAGAACCCTGCGGCATATGCCGAAATTCTAGTGGCACATACCCGCCTGCGGGTATGTGCCAATGTTTGGCGGAAAGTGCTCGACTATGTACACAATGATATTGTGACATTACTTACGTCCTGACCAGGGAGTAGTATTCGTTAAACCATCGTACCCTCCTATAATGTCATCGTACCCTCCTATCTATCTAGCCCCCAGACGTAGGGGGCTAGATAGATAGATAGATAGATAGATAGATAGATAGATAGATAGATAGATAGATAGATAGATAGATAGATAGATAGATAGATAGATAGATAGATAGATAGATAGATAGATAGATAGATAGATAGATAGATAGATAGATAGATAGATAGATAGATAGATAGATAGATAGATAGATAGATAGATAGATAGATGCTCAAAGTGGTTGCAGTACGCAATGAAAATAAATTTTAAAAACCATTGACAGTATAACCATCAGAGTTATTTTTAAAATGTGCTTTGTTCTTGAGAGCAAGAATTATCACTGAAGACCCTAAAACCTTTACCTCTTAGCTTGCATTCCATTGGGATTCGAAGGAAAACAAAAAATGATAACCTGCCAATGAATAATCTGACACCCTAATCAAAACGTTGTTAGAAAGGGAGTCCGACGTTGACATGGGAGAAAAACTATGTGATTGAAATTCGAAAGGGTATTTTTGATTTTTTATATAATTATTAACATTTGCAATTTCACCTAAACGGCAATTTCATTCCTGACACCGTTCACCCTCATTTGAAAAGACAGTTCAGTGGAGTCACTCTCAGAATGCTTTTCTCACACGACAGCCTTCGGATTCAGCCTTCTGCCTGCCCTCTTGATCCTACTTTTTCATTCAAGAAACCGTGATGGATCTCTTAGTGCGGGGAAGAAGACACCTTTTCCTTGTTCGACCGATAACTTCTTTGACACAGTGACACAATACACGTCCTTTCTTTGCATTGCCGCTTATCTTTTAACATCGCAGGGTGTTGCAAAGTACATATAGCGCCGTCGCACTTCACAGTAAATCCGATGGCAGCTGTCACACACTGATTTTAAACTTGGCGAGGTTCTGGCAACAACAGGACGAGAGGAATTTCGGGCGTTCGAGCACCCTCTTGGCACGCAGAGCCGCTTGTGGCATCTGAGTGCAGTTATCACATGCGCGGCCACCCACTCTCGTACGGAATGCGCGTGCTCAGCCCACTAGGTAGTATATTTCTAGACACTGTAGTTTCTGTATAGACGAGAGCACACCTATCTCGCACCCAGGATCTTTGGCGGTATATTCTCGCTCCTTGAGACGCCATACTTTGTTTGGAACTCCCAAGGCGCGCCTCGCTAGCAAGGCATGCAGTGGCTGTGGGAGTTTCAAATGCGAAAAGTGCCTGTTCACGTTGCACCCGCTTATAAAATGTCATCTCCGTACCACAGCGTTGTCATCTTATACGACAACAACTAGCGGAAGAGGTAGAGATTGCTGAGCCCTGCCTGTGAAGTTCACAGAGCATCGCGGTAATCGTGCCGGTGCGGTATTTTGTGATCGCACAGATTTCCGTCCACAACGAAAAGCGCTGAGCTCCGCCGCCTTAGGGTATAATCGCAATCAGCAGGAAAAACTACGAGTGCAGTAAAGTGTACGAGTAAGTATACTTATTGCGCTTATTTATTTATTTATTTATTTATTTTCATACTCTCAGGGCCCGAGGGCATTACAGAGAGGAGTGGTCTGACAACAATATATCAATAACTGCAATTTTGAAGGCGGCAGATTCTTCGATTGCAGCAATGGAGGCAGGAAGGTGGTTCCAGTCACTGCTTGTTTGAGGCAAAAAAGAAGCATGGCAAGTGTTAGTGCGGCATATGGGAACTTTAACTTTAAGATGATGGTCTAACCGTGGTGATACATAATCTGGGGGAAGGAAAAGATCATTTTTAAGTGTTGGATTCGTGTAAAAGATTTTGTGAAATAGGTTGAGACGGAAGTACTTACGGCGTGACTTAAGTGTTGGTAATCCTAGGGTAGCTTTCATTGAAGAAACACTGGCGTAGCGGTTGTAGTTAGAGAGCACAAAACGAGCTGCACGGTTCTGAACGGATTCAAGGGCTGTAGTTAATACGGAGCTAAATGGATCCCAAATAGAACAAGCGTATTCCAATTTCGATCTAACGAGTGTTGTGTACAATTTAAGTTTTAAATCTGAAGGAACGGATGAAAAATGACGGCGGAGAAATCCAAGCATGCGATCAGCGTTATTAATTACATGTTCAACATGCATATTCCAAGAGAGGTTGTGGGTTATATGCACGCCAAGGTAACGGTAACTAGTAACGGGGTTTAAAGAGGAGTTTTTGAGGGTATAGGAAAAATGGTCATTGACTTTATTGTGGTGCATTACTCTCATAACTTTACACTTACTGATGTTTAATTTCATGAGCCACTTGTCGCACCAGTTAGAAACAGCGTCAATGTCGGACTGCAATGTAGAAACGTCATGTTGATTATGAATGACACGATACAGTACGCAATCATCAGCAAAAAGCCTAATGGTAGAATTAATTCCGACAGGCAAATCATTAATATAAATAAGAAAAAGCAATGGACCTAAAACCGAACCCTGTGGTACGCCTGATGTTACAGCAACGGTAGGAGAGTTATAATTATTAGCATGAACATACTGCAGACGGTTTGTTAGAAAACAGTGAATCCAGTCAAGGATGTTAGGATCTATACTTAGCTTGCTCATTTTGAGAAGAAGGAGAGTATGCGAAACAGTGTCGAAGGCTTTAGCGTAATCTAAAAAGATGCAGTCGATAATGAAATTATTGTCGAAAGCACGAAAAAGATCGTTAGTAAAAGAAAGTAACTGCGTTTCACAAGAGAAGTGCTTCCTGAAACCGTGTTGCCAAGGGGAAAAAAATGAGTTGGATTCGAGAAAAGATACTAAGTTTGAATAGATGATGTGCTCGAGAAGTTTGCAGGGTACACTGGTTAAAGATATTGGCCTGTAATTGAGGGGAGAGTGGGTGTTACCTGATTTGTGAAGTGGAACCACCTTACCCACCTTCCAATCATCTGGCAAAGTGGAAGACTGCAAAGACTGCGAAAAAAGTTCAGCGAGTATAATGGAAGAATAAAGTTTGTGTTTTTTAAGAACTTTGAATTGATGCCGTCGTTGCCTGCAGAGCTAGACAATTTCATTTTTTCTATTATACGGCACACTCCAGATGAATCAACAGATATGAAATCCATAGGAAAAAAAGAAAGGTCTTCGACAGAAGGCATAGAAAAGGGTGTTGCCCCAGAAAAACAAGAAACAAATACATCATTCATCACATTGCAGCAGTCACGATTGGAAACAGCATCACCATTGCTATCTAGTAGGTGAAACGTTGTAGATCTGCTGCCACGAACTACATTCCAAAATTGCCGGGGATTATCTTTCAGTAGGGTGGGTAGGGTAATGTTGTGGAATACATTTTTAGCCTGCGCAATGGCGTTTTTGTACTCTTGTTCAGCGACGAAGTACGCGTGCCAACGCTCAGGCGTCATCACCACTTTTGCTCGGCGGAAAATCCTTTTCTTCTTGTTTAGTAAGCGCTTCAAATGGGCGTTAAACCAAGGGGCTTTAGAAGAAGAAAGGATCTGTTTTTTAGGAATGTAGCGGTCAATCAAAAAAGCGACCTTTTCTTTAAACATAAACCAATTTTCTTGAATGGTGCGTGTATAAAAACCAGGCATATAGTCTGTGATGAAATTAGCAAGTTCATTATTTATTGCAGCAAAACTTGGCGTTTTTATAATCTTTAATAAATTTAACTTGCTTCGTGCAAGGTAAATGGGCATGAATACTACAGTGAATAAAACAGTGATCACTTAGACCGGGCATAAATACTAGGGGTGAGACGAGTTCTGATGTGGTCGTAAGTAGCAAATCTAGTACATTGGCAGAATGAGGTGAGCAACGAGTAGGCTGAAGTACCAGTTGCTTAAGGTTAAAATCTAAACAAACATTCAAAATGACGAACATTCTATTGAATTTTCCACAAGACTTGGCGGGTCAGTAGACCAGATTATAGAAGGCAAGTTAAAATCTCCAAAAAGAAATAAAGGACATTTGGGAAACCGCACAGTCAACTTATTTAGGACATCATGTAATTCTTGACAAAATGCTGTTGAAGACTGTGGCGGTTTATAGCACACACTGAAAATGAACTTTCTATGCCCTGTAAATACACATGCGCTAACAAATTCTAAGTTGGTGTCGACCATAATCGCACTAGAGATGAAAGTATCCCGGACAGCTATCAACACACCACCGCCTCGACTACCAGTACGATCCGAACGATAAATTTTGTAGCCCGCTTCGCAGTGCAATATTTCAAAGTCATGAATAGCGGAAGAGAGCCAAGTTTCTGTGAGCAGTACCACATCCGCAGAACACGTGTCGATAACGGAAGATAAGTCGTCGCGCTTGTTACACACACTACGCACATTGGAATACAGCAGGGACACCTGACTGGCTGATTGCGTTCGTGCTAGCTATGTTGCTGGGGCGGGTAAACTGGCAGCAGCTGGAAGAGTGACGGGGGAAGCATTACCAATGTTACTGTTGTTGCGCTCCTCGCGTGTCTCAAGTTCGCACACACGGTCGGTAACATGGCAATACACATAGACAGTCTTGTTAATATACAATTTGTTTACTCGTAGCGAGTACGGCTGTCCAGAGTTTTTACCAAATTCATGTAACTTTTTTCGGCATTGTCGTGTTGCCCTCGAGAAATCTTCACTAACTGACACCTTAGAGGGTTGAAACTTCTTCCTCTGATAAAAAACGTTATCCTTTATTTTTGACGACTGAAATTTAACAATAATAGGCCGGCACTTATTGGGAACATAGGCACCAAGCCTATGCGCACGCTGTATTGCTTCATTTGATAGGTTGAGGTCAAGTTTTTGAGATATAAGGTCAGTGATTATTTTTTCACTCTGCGCCCAACCTTCAGAAACATTGTCAGCAATGCCAAAGAATATCAAATTATCTCTACGAGAGCGATCTTCCAACTCGTCAAGTCGGGAATGAAGAGCAGTCGTTTCGTTTCTTATGACTGTATTAACTGCTTGCGGAAGATCAGGAATATGGTGACCCGAGTCATATGATTCTACCATCGTCTCAACTGTCGCTAGCCTGCTAGAAAGGTCGGTTACTTTCTGTTCTAATAAAGATTGATTGGTTTGAACTTGGTTAAGTACGGCAAGAAGTTCCGCATGACGCGAGTCTACTTTAGCTGAAAGGCTAGCAATAGCTGTCAGCACCTTATCGTCCGGTCCTGGGTTTGATTCAATATCCCCGCACAAAAGTAACTTGAGGACATGAAAGCACTCAGAGACATTGTCATATATAACACTTGGGCCAGGGAAGAGCAGCAGACATGTATCACTGGAGCGCTTTGAGTACAAAGACGGGCGGTTACCAACCTGCACGATGAAGCAGAAAAAATTCACAACCGGTCCCATAGCTGCCGCTCTTTCCTGGCCACTGAAAGGCGCCGACGACGGGCTGATGTAGTCACGCTTATTCAAGCGTGACTACATCTGTTCCACATTACAGCAGCGATTTGCGGGTAGTCTCCCTGTAGTATGCGTCACAAAACTATTTCAGTACTCTTTTGCAGGCCGCACGGCAATAATAGGATATACGTAATACGAGTCATGTGTGGATGCACGCACCGCGCATCTTTAGTACAACTGTAACGGCCTACTATCGCCTTGCAAAGAGATGTGAACGACGCGGAAAGCATCGACTTGGTGAAACTTCGACTTGCTTAGACTGTCACTAGGCGAATCTACATGTGATTTCGGGTGGTGTCACCGTAGCATTTTAAAAATCTTATCCTGCCTGGCACTTTTGCACCACGTGAGTGTTCGGAGAGCCCGGCAGGACTGGCAGTTGATAATTGATACACATGCGGTGCATGAGCGTAAGTTGGAGCCAGATTCTAGCGCCACGTTGACGCCGGCTTACAGCACAAATTCTGCCTTGTTACAGCTAAGGCACGCTGCCGTTACCGCTTTTCACGTTTCTTTCAGTCGAGTAATACGTACCTGATAAAGTTGCTTCAGCAGTCTGCAATGCACGTGCTACAGACACTCCGGACAGTCGAGGAAGGTGTCCTCGACGTTTCACACGAAATGAGCATAAAAGTTCAGCGCAGGAACAGTGCGAAACATGATTACAGCCGCACTCGGGTTGTGAGGTATCACGTTTGATGTGCAAAGCTCGCGTGGTAGTTGAGGGTGTTGATTTGCCGTGCTCGCAACAGATGGCGCCACGCGCTTTTAAATATGGCAGCAAGCACTGAGCTGCTGTGTTCTGGGGTATATGCTAACGTAAGTAGTGGAGTTGCGCCTCTGACAGAACTCACCGTTCGCGCCACCATTCCCCAAGTGCGCTCACGTACGCAAAAAGAGGCCGTTTAAGGAAAAGCGAACTTCAAGGCCGCATGGGTACTTGCGACTGCAGCGCCACCACTGCTACCATTGCACTGTCAAGCCGTCCCTCCAGCGAAATGCAAGGTGGTTCGGCTCGGGCAGTGCGGATGGTTTGTCGGTGCTGCGTTGGTGTTTACTGCTGCCCATTTCAGTGAACGTGATTTCGTGTGGCTATCAAGGCGTTGACAAATAAAAGAACGGGTCAAAACGGTAAAAATGCGCGTGAGTGAATGTGTGAAAGCGGCGTTGTGCGTGAATACGAACATTACAGGCCTATCAAAACAGCATGGTTTATTCCGGTATCTGTGTGGCATAAAGGTTTGAAGCTTTAACGGGTGTTTAGTTTATGCCTAGATACACAAAAAATATCTTTTGCTTGTGTCATTTGTAAAACACTGAGTGGTAATTTCAACACTTCTTTTCTCAAGCCATCTACGAATCTTCTGAAGTGCTGCTTCAAAACATACGTCAAACGAATAATTTGTTGAATTTAGCTTTGTCCAGAATTGTGTCCGTCGGAGTTTTTAAGAGTTGGTGATTTAAAACAAACATATTACTCGCAATAGTGATTGCCTCTTCTATTTTGGTTCATTGTTGGTCCAAGCTTTTCATATTTCTTTTTCTTGTAAGCGAGAGTCATTGCGCTAGCGGCGGCCCATAGCCAGTAATTTTTTTCGCGGGAGTAGGGGGACGACTTGATGAACACCTTGAAAAACACCCATTTATATAATTTTCAGTAAAATACACGTACACATCAGAGTATCGAGATGTGGGGGGGGGGGATTTGAGCCCTTCTCTTTAACTATGGGCCAGCGTCGGCGACGCTTTATGAACGAGCGTACTCTGGGGAAGTAGACGGAGCCGCTAAGCCGCGTTGGCCCCTACATTCCAGAGGGGTGGCTTTTCTGCTTAACATTAACGCGCCAGCGGGCAGGTAGCGTACCTATGCACAACTCTGCTACCTACGGTAGCATATGCAGTAACTCTGGTTTGACACGCACACCCGCGGTGCACAAAATTTTGACCAACACTTTATTTTGAGAAGCCATGTTATGCAAAGCATGCGCATGGAAGGTGGCTGTCTTGAATTTTTTTCATTGAGCGAAAGGTCTCGAGGTGCCACGAAAGAAATGTACAGGCACGGCCATGTCTGTGTAGAGCACGCAAACAGCCGTATTTTGCTCTGCAGTGCGAAACCTTGGGACATATTATCAAGCTCTCCCATGGTCGGCCTGACAACTAGGAAGTGCATGCTCCTGATACACCACTTTAGAGCCCGAAACTTCTTCAAGGTTTCGGTCCGCAGAGGAAAAACCGGCTGCTTGAGCGCTCTACACAGACTTTGCCGCGGCTGTACAAATGTATGTCAAGACATACGTTAAACTTCCACATATATTTTATATAACAAGTTGTTAGCACTAGAACAACGATAACAGCTGCAACATGATAATTAGCAACATCAGAAGCGGTAAGCTGTTCATAAGCGATGGCAGCCCCTGACACTGCTACATAAATCAACTTTAGCGTTAGGCACTTAACTACAACAGACATTAACCAAACGTGATGGCTGCATTATAGGAGTACATGTGTAATGTTGATATAATTGGATCGTAAACATTGCAACCACAGTCGACGTTTGGCCAACATACGAGTCTACTTGAAAAGTAGTTCCGATACTTGGCGTAGCTCTGTGGTAGAATACATGATTGCCACGAAGAATGCCGGGGTTCTCCTTCTGCTGAGACCATGGCATTTGTTTTTTGCATTCATCCGGTCAACGCTGCTGACGTCAGCTTTGTCTTGACGCTAACGCGTTAAATATAGCCATGTGTGTTCTTGCTGTTCGATGACATATAATAAGTGTCAGAACCGCTTGGAATATACCGATATTCTAGTGGCACAAACCCGTCCGCGGGTATGTGCCAAGGTTGGGCGGAAAATTTTTGACCATGTACACAATGATATTGTAAGGGGTCCAAGAGAAGAAACATCAAGAACTGGTTTATTATGGGCGAACTTGTGCCCTGAGAATTATGTGCCAAGAAAAAGGAAGGGTCCACTAGAGCGTTCCAAAACTAAAACTGTTCATCCGCCAACGCGCCTTCTTCTTCGCAGCTCCAACCCACACTTGTTAGAGGTTCGACAATTTCGCGAAATTTTTCACAAACCACCTGTTATTAGCACATAAACTCGAAAATCGGCGTACCTTCATCTTTTCTTTTGGCTTGGGAAACAGTCCCACGGCCAGAGTCTTGTCCAGGTCCGGGCCAACAACTTGAGGGCTGATTACATGACCGAGGAAACGAAGCTTCTCAAATCCAAACTGGCATTTTTCTGAATTAATCGTCAAGCCGGCTGACTGGATAGCCTGAAGTACCGAACGTAGTTGCTCTACATGCTGTTCAAACGTTGCTGAAAACACCACAACATTGTCCAGGTTGACTAAGCACGACTGCCATTTGAGGCCTGAAAAGACGCTGTCCCTCTTGCGCTGGAATGTTGCAGGCGCACAACAGAGGCTAAATGGGAGTGCTTTGAACTCATACAGACCTTCCGCGGTTACGAAAGCAGTCTTTTTATGGTCTCTTTCATCCACTTCAATTTGCCAATAACTGCTGTTTACATACAGCGAAGAGAAATATCTTGCGTGCCATAGCCGATCCAACGTATCATCAATACGTGACAAAGGGTAGACATCCCGCTTGGTCACGCTGTTCAGCTTTCTGTAGTCAACGCAGAATCTCAGCATGTTGTCCTTTTTCCTCACAAGAACTACAGGCGACGCCCACGGACTATTGGATGGCTGTATGACATCGTCCTCCAGCATCTCTTTCACTTGGCTTTTTATGATCTCGCGTTCCTTCGGTGATACGGTGTACGAATTTTGGTGTACCGGCCTTGTAGCTTTACCTGTTATTATTCGGTGTTTAACAACCTGGGTCCGCCGTACTTTTGACGAGGTAGAGAAACATCCGGCGAAGTCTTTTCTGAAGTCTTTAATGATTTTTTTCGGCTGGTGATAGATTTTGGCTGATTGCAACTCTTGCCGCGACATCAGGCGCAGGTTCCGAAGCAGGTGGCCCTGACACCAGACCACATAAGTCCGTCACTGTTTGAACACCGTGCAGGAAGGCGATAGCAGTGTCCTTCGCAACAGGCTGAATTTCGTTTCAGAAATTCGTGAGCAATACATCGGCACATCCACCACGTAATTGAATAATGCCTCGAGCTACACAAATGTCTTTCTTTAGCATTAGTTCGATGTTTGCATCCGCTATACCTTCAAAATCAACGAGTGCTTCATTTCTTATACTGACTATCACGCAGCTGGAGCATCGTGGCGGCACAGTAACATCACAATCTATAACACGTAATGCAGTGTACCCTGGCTCATTTGTGTATATGGCCATTTGCGTCGAAAAAGAGACACTAGAACTTGACAGGATGAATATAGCTCCGTTTGCTAGCAGAAAATCTATTCCAAGTATTAAATCTCTAGAGCATTCCGGAAGTACGACAAAGTCAGCGACGTAATTAGCGCCTTGAATTCCGATTCTTGCGGTACATCTTCCAAAGGTATAATGAGATGACCCCCAGCCATGCGTATTTGGGGTCCACTCCAAGGCGTCAGACGTTTCTCTAAATCCTTTTGCGGCAGCGTAACTGACAACCGAATAATCAGCACCCGTGTCAACTAAAGCGTGAAATTCACACCCGTCTACGGTAACGCGTGAGCCTGAAGAAATTTCTTTACCTAACCTAGCTGTAGTGTTCCGCTCGTCGTTGCTGCACTGGGACCTTGACGGAGGATCTTCAGTACGTCGGACATCAGCGGCCTTGCCTTCATAGGTCGCTGGCTTGAGATTTCCTGATGAGGACTGCTTGAACGACGGTGTGTTGAAGTTGATGGTGGAGAAGGTGAACTAAATCGTTGAGGGCTTGGTGATCGATTGCGAGCAGGCGCTGGTGATCTAGGCTGATGCTGGAAACCAGCAGTTGGAAACAGTGGCCGGACAAGTTATCTTCGATTTCAACGGGTATTTCGCCATTTGGGGGGCATGGTGCGTTTGGAGAAAACCCACCGAGACAAACTCGCTGAAATGGGCACATTCTGTACAGGTGTCCAGCTTCACCGCAGAGAAAACAGAGCGGCGTCCGGTGGGGTGTGCACCACACGTCACTTTTCCATAGCCTCGAACTAGCTGGATAGTTTGAACCACGCGAAGACGGTCGGTAGCCACTGGGAGCTGCAAACGAAGCAGTATGCGCACGGCGGGCTGGCGCACAGCATCGGCGTGAGTTGGTACGGGGCGTTCCTGTAATTGCTGTTCAAGTCGAACAGGTTGCGCCTCGGGTTAATCTTGTAGAATGGAGTGGCGAACTTAAGCTCTGATCAGAGTAGTGAGAGACGAAACTAGCGTTGCGACTTGTGGGGGCAGCAGCTTCTGGAGCTGTTCCTTCACAATATATCACACCATTTCTCTCAATGCTTCGCTGCTGCTGCCCAGGTTGGCTGAGAGGACATCCGCAGGAACACTACTCGTATCATGATTGTAGTGACGGAAGCGCTGCTGCAATGCCCGCTCTATGGAGGTGACTTCGGTGCGGAATTCAGTAACTGTACGAGGTGGGTTGCGTAGAAAACCAGCAAATAACTCCTGTTTGACACCTCGCATCAAATAACGCAGCTTTTTCTCTTCGATCATGTTCGGGTCAGCGCCTTTGAAAAGGCGGAACATGTCGTCAATATACATGCCAACGCTTTCGTTCGTGCGCTGGTTCCTGGACTGTAGAGCGTTCTCCGCCTTCTCCCGACGACCGGTGCTGGCATATGTAGCTACTATTTGTCGTCGAAATTCTTCCCAAGTCGGTATGAACGCTTCGTTATTTTCGTACCACGTCCTCACTGCATCGTCCAATGCGAAGTACCCGCGAAGCAGTTACCTTGGTGCCGAAGACTGAGGCGCAAAAAAACATATCGTGAAGCAGGAAGAGCAGAAGAGAAGAAAGAACAGCGCCAATCTGTTCTTTCTTCTCTTCTGCTCTTCCTGCTTCCCGATGTGTTTTTTGCGCCTCAGTCTTCTGTACCAAGTATGCACCAACTAGCCCAAAACAAGTCCTTTTGCAGTTACCTTGCTTCATCCCAGCCGTTTGACTTCGCAACCCGCTCGAAGTGTTCTAACCAATCTTCTGCATCTTCGAACGTGTCGCCGTGGAAGTGCTCAGGCAGGCCCGGTGGGTACAGAAAAGGTTTCGATTACGTCACCTGGCAAGCCACTGTTCCGTTGTCTGTGGACGCTGCTTGTGTTGCTGGAGCACTCGGGAGGGGTGCGCATTCAGGCGGCTCTCCTCGAAGGCGGCGGCTTGAACACTGGTGTACCGCAGTTAGTTCGCCAGCTTCCAATCGTTGATGATCGAGGCTCCACTCTCTTGTGCCAAGGGGGTTTCCAATCATACACAGCACCATCCACCAGAATATAACGGGTCTAAGAGAAGAAACACCAACAACTAGTTTGTTATGGGTGAACTTGTGCCCTGAGAATAATGTGCCAAAAAATGGAAGAGTCCGCTAGAGTGTTCCAAAACAAAAACTGTTCATCTGCCAAAGCTCCTTCTTCTTCTTCGCAGCTCCAAACCACACTGATTCGCGCCAGTGAACAAGAGGTATGAGTCGTGCGGGCACAAGCAGGAGTACGCTCAAGAATGTGGACGCTGATTCTTCATAACATGAGACGGTGTAATTAGTCTGTGGCAATATTGTCACATTACTCATGTCCTGACCAGTTATTAGTACTCGTGAAGCATTCTTACCCTCCTATATAATTTTTGTTTTACCCAAGTTTAGGGAGTGATCCTGAGAGCACAATAAGTAGGGTGCTTAACAGACAGACAGACAGACAGACAGACAGAGAGACAGACAGACAGACAGACAGACAGACAGACAGACAGACAGACAGATAGATAGATAGATAGATAGATAGATAGATAGATAGATAGATAGATAGATAGATAGATAGATAGATAGATAGATAGATAGATAGATAGATAGATAGATAGATAACGATTTCACCATTTATAATAATTGGTGTATATACAGGCCGCCACATGGCCACAAAAAGAAATTTCTTGAGTTTCTTGACATTGCGTTATCAGCAACTGTTCACCAGAATACTCCTTGCAACATCATGGGTGATGTAAATAATGACTTCTGTTGCATTGATCTCTACGCCAAAGATTTTGAAACTCTCTTACTTACATACGGAAGTGGAAATTTTATAAGCTTACGTTAACTAGTGCTACGCTCCTTGACACATGTGCTTCAAATTTGAGTTAAGAATTTACAAAAACGTCATAAGTGATCATATGCCCATCCTTTTTCTTGCACCAGTTATTTCACAAATTTTACAGCAAACGGAGGTATTCTTTGGTCGAGTTAAAAACAGCAAACGTCAGGAACATTTCGTTCAAATTTAGTTCAGAACATTGACTGCACCACTGTGTATAGGCAAGACAACTCTGACAGCGCTTATAACACATTCATTCGTAAGTTAGATTCTACTTCTGATACGGCATTTCCACTTCAGAAGCGCTCACTTGATAGAAAGTAAAATATAGCAAACCTTGGATAAATTGTTATCGTTGCCGGCGCATTCAAGTAAAGAATATTTTGTAGCATGATTTCATCCATTCGCGGGACACAAATGCCTTAACTGACTAAAAGAAATAGAGAAATGTCTTCAACTTAGATATAAGAAAAGCTGGAATAAAATACTATGAAAATTGTTTTAAAGAATTCACAATGATCAGGAGAAATTACGGGAGGTCATATATAGGCTTATGAACACAAATAAGAGACGATATAGGGCACACAACAATTCTAGCGGCGACATGCAGTCGTAAAAGGTTGGCAAATGTTACGAATCAACACTTCATAAATGCGGGTTCCTACGTTTCAACGCATGGAAATACGTATAATGTTCTAACCACTGATAGGTCTACTATGTCTCATCCTAATTTTTTTCGCACCCACAGATTCGGCTGAAGTATGACTCCTAGTCGGTGAGTTCAAAAATAATGTTCATAAGGAATCGATGAAATAGGTTTTGTAGAATTCAAATTAATATCACCACTCATTTCTCACCACTCATTTCTGACATGTTAGGTTATACTATCAACATGACCCCCAGTATGGCGAATTTTCTGAGCAGTTAAATGTGGCAAAGTCGCTGAAGTATATAAACGGGTTAATATAAACATTTTAGCGAACCATCACCCTATATGTGCGCTTCCAACATCATCAAAAAAGTTTTAAGGGGCAATTTTATTGCGATAGCAATTATATAGATACTCTCGGCTGAGTCTCGCCGCCGGCGTCCGCGTCATGCACGGTATATGTATACGCATCTGTATATATAGAAACGAAAAGAAAAAAAATGCAGAGAAAAGACTCCGATGCGCGAAATCGAACGTGGGACTTCAACGTATGTGAGGCGTTAAACACTGAGCCACCGAGGGGTACCTTCTTCAGCGTTCAAACGGCAAGTGTTTTATATGTACCACTTAAAGCTGTTGGTGGGTATCTGGTGGAGGCGGGGGGCTATATTGTTTTCAGCCATTTCAGAATGATGGCGCAGTGAGTGCGCGGTGGCTCTCATCTCTCACGCGTATATTGGTCCGCAGTGAGGAAGGGAGTGCACAATCTCTCGCCCGCAATTATCTCCTGGTGGAAAAATCGTGCGTTTTGGCTGGCCTTGGGCTTGCACTTGAACGATTCTTTTGTAGTTACGGGGCCCAGATAGGTCACTGCAATCGTTTTACAACCTTGGTTTGCAAAAAGAGCTCACTTTTCAGACACAGCGAAGTAAAAACTAACACGCCTATTTGCATTCATCTGTACCCGTGAGTAGGTTTCCTGCGTCAAAATAACATCGAAGTGGAAAGGAATAATGCGCTTTTATGTTTCTGCCGTTTTAGAGGCAAGCTGTACTCGAACTGATAATGATTACGTGGGCTTACATAGGAAGCATCAATTACTTGCTTCATAATTATTTTTGCCTTTGTTACCTCTCAGGAGGGGACTGCCTAAGCAATGGTTTGGTTTCACGTCAAGTTTCTTTGTATACACGACATCACGGCATCACGGCCCAAACGGCGATATTTACGAAAGTACATTGCTATTCTATTGGTTTGATATCTTGATTATTATTTTAAATTTTGTGTTGGTGAATGTGCTCCTTCTCAAATATTGAAACATTTGTAGTTTCTTTATAAACTACATGGGGCCAACGCGTGAACGAAGGGTAAAAAAAAGATGTCGGTCTTTCGTGCATAAGACGAAGCAGAACCGCGTTGGCATGGTATTTGGCTGCTATACGGAACGGGGTTTGAATTGTTATAGGCCATAACATACAAGCTCGCTCACTTGATCGCTCGCCCAATATATAATATATAAACAAATAAATACATAAATAAGTCAGTCAGTCAGTCAATCAATGATATATTCAACGAATCAATCAATTTATCAATCAATCAATCGATTTTTATTGTGTGTTAAAGTACAAGGGTACATGACTCAATGGCGTGCTGAAAATTAAACTAGTTTGGTAACAAAGTTTCAAAGTAGGTGGTACAGAGATAGACAACATGCGCAAATTGCACCTGAGGAGATCGACATTACTCGCGCATTACGGTCAGACAATGTAAGAAAGTATCGGCTAATCAAGGTAGCCAATTTGACGACAATAAATGGTATTTATGCTTACGGGGAAATCGTTGGTAATCACCATGAAACGTTATACCGTTTTCAATTTTAAACAAAAAAAGAGACTTGATTCGCCAAATATAAATTTATTAGTTCAATTCACATTATTACGAATGCGAATCACGCAACTAGGGGCTTGCCATTTAGCCGCAGCCTTACACAGAAGGGTGAAATAAAGTGAAGCCTGCTTCGCGCTTTCTTTTCCCCCAAAGAAGAAACCGAGCGCCCCTATCCCGAAGAAATTTTTGAGACCGTGCACAACGGGTGCTCGTGCAATTGGCAGTGCATTTACCAATTTCCTGCAGACCTTCCTGCTTTGCACTTCTTACAGGTGCCACAAACAAACGTAAATGAAGAGAGAAAACTGGATGTGTAGGCCGACACTATGGACCAGAAAAATATGCTTCACCAGCTTTCCGAGCACCTGGTCCAGAAGTACAACTACTGGTGGGGCCTCGGCAGGTCGCAATTCTTTACCTCGCAGAATCTCTGCCCACAAGTAGGTGGGCAACTGCTGAAGCTCTGACCAACGTTGTTTCCAAGCCGACGTCGCCAAGGTCCTTGACAAAACTCTTACGAAGGGCTGGCCACCATGGCAACATCCGAGAAAATGGTCTGTCTCGTTTTGCCACCAGCCACGAGATACCTTGCTGCTACCAAACACGGGGCTCTTCACAACAAGAGGCTGCGTAATTTCCATACCTTTCAGAATGCTTCGTGAAAGGCTGGCGTGGCTAGCGAGTCGGAGATGGAGGAAACTGACATAGGCACGTTGGGGCCAATGGGTAGGTAGGAGGGAAACCTCAGTCAGGCAGAGATGCTCGCAGTTTTGACAGTCCGCCTTGTCCAGAAGTGCAACAATTTGAAAAGCACCGCCATTCCACACTTGTGCAGTCTTCGCACCCAGAACCGTGAAGCACTCGCGTGTAGTCTCAGGTGATCGTATGTCGCTGATGACGAACGGCGACCACTTACGCCCTTTCTGCATCTTGGCGCCGAACAAGACACAAGAAGCTGGATGGTGGAAATTGATGCGAGAGAAGGCCTGCACGATGCTTTTTGTGAGCCCCACAGCAGGTGGTTCTTCAGCCCGGTAGATCAACAGCTCAAAAGTGGGAAGCATGCTGAAATGGTCTTGAACATGCTGTTGAAGGGCTCTCAGAGATCCTTGATGACGAGGAAGCTTACACTCGACCCACTTGAAGAGCAGAGTCCACATCAGGGGCTGCTGGTCGAGGTGACTGTCATTGTCTTCTATGAACTGGATTTCTGCAGGTAGTTTTGTTGTGGCGTATCGTTGGTGATGCGCCGACAGGGATGTTTTTTGTGGCCGAAGACAACCGGCTATTCCTCGGTGGCTCTGGACGTGTGGATGCGTAGGAGGACTCAGTTAACAGACTCGAGATTCTTTCGGCCTGTCGCAAAAGCGTATAGACCTTTCTCGTGCTTCACGCATCTGACAATTCGTCCTTCCAACGCTGACACGTCTTCCCATCTGCCGACAAGTTAGCGTTGCGGATCCTCTTGAAATGGTGTTGTTGCCTCTAGTGTGGACTGCGTTGGATGCCAGTGAACCGGAGGAGAGCTTTTTGTCTTACTTGAATGATCGCTGCTACTAGAAAATGGAGATTCTACGAACGAGCACGTACTGCACGAGAACGATAGTCATGATAACGATAATGATGGATACTCGCACATGGCTCATACCCACTCATGGGGATCGGCCAAAAATTTTTTAGGATCGTGCAGCGGGCTGTCCTTTTACTCAATACCGCTGACAAAAATAAATATTTGATAATAAAATACGTGGCTTTATTTACCTGTCGTTTATAAGGAACACTTTAGGGGAAGTGGCTTAGACTGCTTTACTTCCTGAACAAGACACACACAGAAAACTATAAATAGGTTTAGATTGATGAATCCTCTTCTGAGAGAGAAAAAGAGAGAAAGCTTTTATAAATGCAGATGCGTTGATTTCACCTGTTGCATCAACTAGCGAAGAAGTAGCCCGCAACAAGCCCTAACTAGACTAATTTGTCGCTTTCTTGAAATTCGAAACAAATTCGATGCAGATAAGATTATAAGCGTTGAAATAATTGGCCAATTTTACTATAAAGTTATTTTCTGTGCTCACTTTTTGTGCAATTTGTGGCTCATGAAACAGTTCGGAAAAAGAAAGTGAACAGCATGGACATCTTATGGAGTCCAAATGCTGAGATATAATCTGCCTTTTGTTTAAAAAAAATATTGCACAAAATGGTTTGGGTATTATATAATGTTGCCAGTCTGCACTCCACGTCTCGATTTCTGGGGGATCAAACCAGGGATCTAAATTTAGAACTTTGCCGCTGAAGTCTTTTTCTTTTTCTGAAAATTATTTACAATTATCACAATTGTTGGATGATGGTATAGTTAGGATATGTATGTCTTTCAGCTCAAGCATATGTGCAGAGGCTATGCGTGCCGATGTTTTTGACTCTTTCACTGTAATGGACTGCGAAAAAATAGTCACGTTCTTTTGGCATTTTTTGGCCACGTTCCCCGTTCTTTAAAAAGGCAAATAAGGTGGCGGATAGCCTGGCTGCGCCGAGGTACAATCATCATCATCATCATCATCATCAGCCTGACTATGTACACTGCAGGACAAAGGCCTCTGCCATGTTCCGCCAGTTAACCCGGTCCTGTGCTTGCTGCTGCCAATTTATACCCGCAAACTTCTTATTCTCATCTGCCCACCTAACCTTCTGTCTCCCCCTAACCCGCTTCCCTTCTCTGGGAATCCAGTTAGTTACCCTTAATGACCAGCGGTTATCCTGTATACGCACTACATGCCCGGCCCATGTCCATTTCCTCTTCTTTATTTCAACTATGATATCCTTAACCCCCGTTTGTCCCCTAATCCACTCTGCTCTCTTCTTGTCTCTTAAGGTTACACCAACCATTTTTATTTTCATTGCTCGCTGCGTCGTCCTCAATTTAAGCTGAACCCTCTTTGTAAGTCTTCAGGTTTCTGCTCCGTAGCTAAGTACCGGCAAGATACAGCTGTTACATACCTTCCTCTTGAGGGATAGTGGCAATCTACTTGTCATAATTTGAGAGTGCTTGCCGAATGTGCTCCACCCCATTATTATTCTTCTAGTCACTTCAATCTCGTGGTTCAGCTCTGCGGTTACTACCTGCCCTAAGTAGACATAGTCTTTTACAACTTCAAGTGCACTATTACCTATCTCGAAGCGCTGCTCCTTTCCGAGGTTGTTGTACATTACTTTCGTTTTCTGAAGATTAATTTTAAGACCCACCTTTCTGCTCTCCTTGTCTAACTCCGTAATCATGAGTTGCAATTCGTCCCCTGAGTTGCTCAGCAATGCAATGTCATCGGTGAAGCGCAGGTTACTAAGGTATTCTCCATTCACTCTTATCACTAACTGTTCCCATTCTAGGTTCGTGGTTCAAATCCTGGTGCCGCGCAGTTCCCAACCGGATTAAAAAAAAAAATCCGCGTGCTGATGGAACTGCATTAAGAGGCCTGGGGTGCGGCCTCACCGGTAACCACCGCCGGGAACGCACTCCCTCACCAGAGAAAGATTGGACACCCTGGTGCAGTATGTGGCCACTACCTCCCACATGCGCCGAGGCACAATAGCGGTACACAGTGAAAGAAGTAAAATAAAAGAAAGTCACGCATACCAGTCATTTGTAACAGCCAATTATTGTCTGAAGGGGGCAGCAAAAAGAGATTATTCATGCGCGTGTGCCTTTACAAATACGCTAGCAATACTTTCTGCACTAAAGCTAAGCTTACGGCCAGGATACGTTCTGCTTGGGGCCATTCGATGTCGCGGAGCAAACCGCCACGCTTCTTGAGGAATGCGATTTGCATCGTCGTATAATATGAGTATATAACTTAAGAAAACCTGAATGTCATTTGTCATTTCACACTTGCGAGTTCGAGATGCGGGATGGCAAACTGCAGATGTCAGTCATGACGACTTTTCTTATAGAGTCTCCGCAGGCAAACGAAGCCGAAAGGTTTTATATCCTCTTCTAAAAGCTTGGAGGACGTTTAAGCGTGACCTTTATTATGTGGAAGCATTTCCGGCCCCGTTCCATTGACTTCTCATTTGAGTGTCATGCTTCCATTCTAGGTGGACGCCGCAAAAATGCCATTAGGAAACGAACGTCCATGCGCCTGACATTGGCCTCTGTAAGCTCTCCTAGAGTGCATGTTTAAACCATAGTTCCGAAAAATTCGCTGGCTCATAATTATGGCTCCGTATTTTCGCAGTCATAAAACACTATAGGGTTCTTGGTGTTGCTACAGTGTGAGGCTACAGTGTGACAGAGCTGGGCTAAAGAAGCGCTGTTAAATCATTGCAAAGCGCAATTTACCAGAAACAGCTTAATCAGATGCGAGTTATTTTGTAAGCACTTTATTTAATATGGGAAGAGATAGATTGAAAGAAGAGGGGGCAAAAGGCCCGTAGGCAAGCTAAGAGAATACAGAAATGCTTTAAACACACGAAAAAATATGAAACGAATACAGCTCAACATCATTATTGGCACGTGTTCTTTTTCAAAGCTTGAGATTGCACAGTAGAGTGACTTCAGCCATTTATTTGTGCCTTGAGTAGATTCTAAGTGGCACCGCTATTTGGAGAAGTCATTTTGTTGTTATTTTCCCAGCAAGATTATGGTAAGTCAGGTGCAAAACAGGCTAACTCAATTCCTTGTGCTCAAGCGTTTCATTTCAATAGAATTTATGTTCGAATGCTGTTTTGTCTCCATTTTGATGACGCAATGTGGTCTCTACCTCTTCTACGCACATTCAATGACTATTCTCACGTGTTGACCGTGAGAATAGCCTTGACCAATCTAGTGTGGCTTCCTTTTATTCTTCTGTTTGATTTCTGCCCTGTTTTAGATAAAATGCTTACAAAATAGCCCCTCTCATTTATTAATTATTTAACTTGAAATGAAACTTTTTACTCTTTATATATATTTAAAAGAAATAATGCTTTGCTGCTCTAGTTATGAACGTACGCTATATATAGTATTGACACATAGATAAGTTTTTTAAACCTTTAGTCTTCTGTGCGTGAAAAACAAAATGAAAAGCGTATCCATAAAGTAGGTACTGATTACCTAGTATTTTATTGAATACCCTTTTGGGGGGGCATGTGTTCGTAAACAGCACAGTAGGCCTAAAAATTTGCGTTCACGTCGCATTTTCGGGGCTTACTTCCACCTTACAATTCCACGCAGTTTCCAGCATGGCATTTGTGTATCACCTACTGAACATTTGTGAAACCGTCTTTGTGCGTAAACAGTGGGAGTGCACCCACAGGTAAGGGAAACATATTTGCCAGAACAGTACTTTTCCAGTTTCGAACAGTGCTGAAACACTTGAGACATCTTTTAACATTTCAAGGCACACCAAGGTGGATACAAGACTTTTAGGGGCGAAGCTCCTTAGGGCGTGGGCTGTGCGTCCCCTGTAGCCTGTATGTAGCCACCTCTAGTTTAGTTCTTGCAGTGTTCACTAGATGGCGGTACCGTCCCCTGTATGTACGTGTTCGGGCTGTCAAGGTGGATGGACGTGTTTTTTGAGCGCTCCGTATCGACTGCGCAGATAAGTGTTTTTGCATGTTTTGAGCTTGTCTTTATAATTATAAGGCAGCGGTTGAAATCTTCGTAACACTTATTTTATGGTACGGCTTTTTCGGGGGCCCGTCACCAGGTATTTATTAGTTAGTGCGGGTGTGTGTGTTTGAATTTTTTGCTGTTTTTTTTCTTTTGCCACCCCGTGGGGGAGGTGCGCGTACATTGAACACGCAAATTTTTGTAGTAGAGCTTAGATTTTTTTTCTCGTAGCACAGGGCTCGAGTTTAGTAATTATCAAGTATAGGGACAATTGGTGTCAGAAAGGCATGGTTGAAAAGACTGTAAAGTCTTCAGGATGTGGAGTGGGTTTGAAAGTGGACCCAAGCGTAGAAGCGGATGGAGAAGAGGCTGACGCGAAGTGTAGGCAATGTGAGGTCGAGGAAAAAATGGAGAAAATGATGGTTGCCCAGAGTGAACTGCTGATGAGAATCGCCAAGCTCGAGACTGAGTTGGCGACAGAGCAAGAAAAAACGAGGGCAATGGGAGAAAGACTGAAGTCCGCCGAGGAAGCGCTAGCGAAGCTGAACAAAGAAGCGACCTACCGAGAGAACAGTAGGGAACCGGCAACCAGAACGGTGGAGAAGGAAAAACAAGCAAGTTTGGAAAAAACAAGTTTAGCCGGTTCAACTGTCGCAAGGCCCAGCTTCAGCGAGGTAGTGGTGGGGCAGGGAGGGAACAAAGCAGCCGGCGTCACAGGTGCAAGTAGCCCCCAAGTGCAGAACGCTCCAGCTGAAAAGTCGCAGCATGTGATAATCGCCGGGGACTCAAACTTAAATCGATGCACAGAAGCCATCAAAGAGAGGGTAAGAGGTGACAAGAGGGTGGCAGTAGGGGCGTTCCCAGGACGCAAGCTCGAAGCAGTCATGAGGCAAGCGAGCGCAAAGCTCAAAACGACAGCTGATAGACGAAACCTAGTGATAATTTCAGGCGGTTTAAACGATGTCTTAAATGGAGATGCAGCAGGACTAGCAGCCACACTGGCGAAAGGCGTCGATAACATGCGCGCCACTTCTCCTAAGGTACAGGTAGTAATATGCACGATACCGGAGGTACCGGTGCGTGATAGCAACCTGCAAAGAGCGGTGGCCAACGCAAACCAAGAGATATGGCGGATGAGTCGAGAGAAAGGCGTTGAGGTGGTGGAAATAAACAGAGAGGTGCATAGGTGGGGGGGTTTTCAACGAGACAGAATTCACTTCGATGGGCGGCTAGGTCATGAGGTGGGTTGGCGACTTGCAGGACGCGCAGTAGCTTTTTTGGGGGGCAAGCGAGCCCTTCGGGGTGCAGGATAGCTAGTAACGAGGAAAACAACCAGGGAGACTCTTCGACAGGTGGTATGGACAGATACGATTCCAAAGTGGCACCAATATCTAAGATAGGTAGAGTCCGGGGCATAAATAGACGTAGCCACGAGCGCCGAGCCAATTCAGACATAGGGTATATTAACATGCAGGGTGGTAGGAACAGGCTGAAGTGGGAAGAGATAGAAGAACAGCTAAGGGAAGAGAGGCCGATGGTATACGGTTTTGTAGAAACACATCTCAGGGACATGGAACAACCTCCGAACAATCCGGACTACGCGTGGGAATATTGTAATAGAACAGAAGGCAGCAGAAAGGGGGGTGGTATTGGGGCATTCATTCATAAAAGTACAGACTGGCAAAGGGTCAAGCAGGAGTGCAAGGAACATTTATGGCTGAAAGGGAAAGTGGCAGGTCAAATGACACTCCTTGGTTTCGTGTACTTGTGGACGGGAGCAAAGGCCAGAGAGGAAAACCAGACAATGGTAGAGTGTATATCAAAGGACATTCAGGAGTTAGGAAGAGAGTGCGAGATAATTATACTAGGAGACATGAATGCGCACATAGAAGATATAGATGGGTATACCGACCCGACAGGCAAAATGATCATGGATATGTGTGAAAGGCTTGATTTGATCATTTGCAACAGTACCGAGAAGTGTGAAGGGCAAATAACATGGGAAGTAGGAAGGCTTCAGTCGACGATAGATTATGCACTGATGTCACATAGGATGTATGATAAGCTCAGGGGAATGCACATAGATGAAGGTGGCTCCAGAAGTCTGGGTAGCGATCACAAACGTATCAAGCTAAGTTTTGGAAGAGCAGTGAAAGTAGGAAGGAGACAAGATGAGCAACTACAGGAAAATTTTTATCCAGAAAGGCAAATTGAAATAGCCACTAAGCAAATTGAGAAAGTAATCACGGAGGATAATAAGACAGTGTGGACATACACGAATCTAATTAGACTCTTTGAGCTAGAGCTTGCTAAGACGCGTGACAAGTCACCCCGGAAAAGAAGACACAAACCCAAAAGTTGGTGGGATGAGGAAGTTAAGAGAGCCATAGCAAAACGTCAGGAAGCCTCTAGGGAACACAGACATGCTAAGCAGCGGGGTGAACCGACAGATGATGTTGAAAGAAAATGGGTAACCTTTCTAAGCTGTAGAAGGGATGCATCCCTTCTGATCAATGAAAAGATTAGAAGGAAGGGAGCTCAGTGGCTGGCAGAAGTACATAAAAAAGATAGAAAGGCAGCTGCGAAATTTTGGAACCATCTAAACTCCCTAAGAAATGAAACGAGCCTAGAGCAGAGATTTATAACTACCGCCCAAGGTGCTAGGCTAGAAGGGGACGAAGCTATTGAATATATAAGAACAAAAGTGACAGAAAATTTTCAACAAAGAAGTACTTTATGCACCACAATAGACGAGGACGAATCAAGTGGTGCAATGGCTCCATTTTCACAACAAGAGTGGGAAAGGGCTGAGAAAAGGGTTCCTAGTAGTACATCAACAGGCCCAGATGGCATTCCAATTAGGCTGATAAAGACATTAGGTCCGAAGTCTAAGCAGGCTTTGAGAGAGGCAGTGAGCACAATAATAATCGATGGTGAAGTTCCCGATGGATGGAAACTTAGCAGGATGAGCATGATCTATAAAGGAAAGGGGGACAAAGCTGACATAAACAACTACCGTCCTATAACAGTGACATCAGTGGTCTACAGGCTGGCGATGCAGATTATAAAGGAAAGACTGCAGGCGTGGATAGAGGATGAGGGGGTGCTGGGGGAACTGCAGAATGGGTTTCGGAAACACAGGAGGTTGGAAGACAATCTGTTCTCACTGACGCAGTGCATCGAAATAGCAGAAAAGGAACACAGGCCCCTGTGGCTAGCATTTTTGGATATCAAGGGAGC